AGATCGATGAGAAGATGCGGAGTGAGTCGAGCGAGCGCAGGAAGCAGACAGGCACAAAGTAGAGGGCAGCGGCGAGGAGAAAGATGGTGCGATCCACCGCGCCGTAGGTGAGGGTGATGTTGTCAGCCGCGACGACCAGGCGCATGAGCACGCCTCCCGTCATCTGAATCGTGAGCGCGCACGTAAGCACGACCCCCGAGCCGGGCAGGAGGGAGTTGCAGAGCGAAAAGAGCGTCGGCGTCTCGAGTCCACATCGCGCGCCGGCCGCGTTGAGCAGGAATATGGAGAGGGCGGCGAGGACCGCGCCGGACGCCAGCAGGCTTAGCCCACCAAAGAGGCCCGACTGCGCAAAGGCGTGCGGCAGAGCGAGGACGCCCACGCCCATCTGAGTGCTCGAGAGGGTGATGACAGACGACAGCACCGACGCTCCGGTCGTGCCGCTAGGCCGAGCAGGGTTGAGGAAAGAGGAGCGCTTCCGAGAGAGGCCGCTCTTGCGTTTGGCATCACTCTGTCCGCTGCTGCTCAGTCGGATCGTGACCGGCCTACCATCGTCGTCCTTCATCTCCTTTGCAATTGCATCACCCTTTTGCAGCGCGGCCGAATAGCTCAGCCGGCCAGAGCCGTCTCCGCTGCTCGTCACGCCGCCCACCATGATCTCATCGCCGTCCTTGATGCCATAAGATGAGAGTGTGCGGCCCTCCTTTAGGGGCTCGCCATAGTGGGACAGCTCGATCCGTTCTGCAGTCCATCCAACAGCTTGGCCAACGGCCGACGCAGCCGCGAGACCCTTGAATGCCTCGATGCTTGTGGACACCGGGGCGGTGACGGGGAACTTGATGCTTCCCGTCGTCGTGCGGAGGCGAACTCGAATCACGTCCCCCACCAGCGGCTCCCGGAGCTCCTCCATGAGCGTCAGCGGGGCGGCGATTGCCGCGCCCCGACGTCCGTCCCCTTGCAAGTTGCCACGCTCCCGAGGTCTCGCGAGCTACGGGGGGGGGGGGGGGAGGTTATGCGCTTTTTGTCAAGGTAACGACATAGCTTCTGCTCATTTCTTCTTCTTCTTGGCCTTCCGGCCGTCTCCGCAGCGGCCACCTTCGAATGCGGTGAATTCTTTTTCTCGCGATGTCTGCCCCACCGCGCCGCTCGCGCCGCCTCGCCCCCGCCTCCACCGCCGCCCCCTCGCCAGACACGCCGCCGCCCGCCCGCCTCCTCGACCTCCCCACGGAGCTCCTCGTGCGCGTCGTCTCTCGCTGCGGCCCCGTCGACATCGCTCGCGTCGCGGCCGTCTCGCTGCTCTTCTACGCCTCGCTCGCGGTGGACGCCATCCGCTTGTGGGCGCAAGAGCGCGGCTTCGAGCTGCCGGCGCAGCCAGAGGGCGAGGGCTGTGCCGTGCGGTGGCTGTGCTTTGCTGCGCTGCTGCGCGAGTCCAACCCGCCGGCGAGGCTGGCGGCAAACAAAAGGCACAGCGTCTTCATCGACGGCGAGGGGCGGCTCTCGTCGTGCGGCTCTGCGCCGTCCTACTATCCAGCGCTGCTCGGGCACGGCGCGGGCGTGACGCGGCTCAACACGCCGACTCGCCTCCCCTCTCCGGTGGGGGACGAGCGTGCCGTGAGCGTGTCGGCTGGAGTTTACCACAGCCTCGCCCTCGCCGCCGACGGCGCCGTTTGGAGCTGGGGCCGGGGAGGCTTCGGCAGGCTGGGCCACGGCGACCAGCAGAGCCAGTGGCAGCCCAAGAAGGTCGAGGCCTTCGCTGGCCAGCGCGTCATCGCTGTGTCGGTGGGATACGCGCACAGCCTCGCCCTCACCGCCGACGGAGCTGTCTGGAGCTGGGGCTTTGGAGGCTACGGCCGGTTGGGCCACGGCGACGAGCAGAACCAGTGGCAGCCAAAGAAGGTCGAGGCGTTGGCTGGCCAGCGCGTCGTCGCCGTGTCGGCTGGAGGCGGCCACAGCTTCGCCCTCACCGCCGACGGCGCTGTCTGGAGCTGGGGCTCTGGAGGCTTTGGCATGCTGGGCCACGGCGACGAGCAGGACCAGCTGCTACCCAAGAAGGTCGAGGCCTTGGCTGGCCAGCGCGTCGTCGCTGTGTCGGCGGGACGTGAGCACAGCCTCGCCCTCACTGCTGACGGCGCCGCCTGGAGCTGGGGCGGGGGCGAACACGGCTGCCTTGGCCACGGAGATCACCTGTCGAATCAGCTGCTGCCCAAGAAGATTGAGCCGTGGGCGCCAGGGCAATGATGGGCAGCTCTGACCTCTGGCCGGGCGTTTAGTCGCTCAGCTAGAGAGATGGGCCCAGGTAGGAGGCTCCACGCCACCTGACTCGCGTCGTGCCACCTGACTCTCGCCTGGAGAGGCCTCTTAGCCGAGGCACACGTGGCAATCGCCACGTGCGCCAACAGGGATTTCGGCCATTTTAGAGCCTTTTGCACAAAAATGCAGGTGGCTTCAGCCACTTGCTCCATGAGCAAAACAGTGCAAAAAGCACCTGGAGCAGATGGCTTACGCCGCCTGTGGACATGGGCAAAACAGTGCAAAAAGCACCTGGAGCAGATGGCTTACGCCGCCTGTGGACATATGGGCAAAACAGTGCAAAAAGCACCTGGAGCAGACGGCTTACGCCGCCTGTGGCCATGGGCAAAACAGTGCAAAAAGCACCTGGAGTAGATTCCAAACGCCGCCTGTGGCCATGTGAAGCGCTCGGGTGGCGCCAAGGGCTTCGGCCCCCTCCAAGCCACCTGCCCCCCGCCCCCCTCGCCACACGTGGAGGGCTGGAGCACGTGCGCCACCTGGGCCTGGGCAGGTGGCAACAGGTGGCTTCAGCCCCCTCCAAGCCACCTGCCCCCCCTCCCTCGCCACACGAGGAGGGCTGGAGCACGTGCGCCACCTGGGCCTGGGCAGGTGGCTCCAGGTGGCTTCGGCCCCTCCAAGCCACCTGCCCCGCCCCCCTCGCCACACGTGGAGGGCTGGAGCACGTGCGCCACCTGGGCCTGATGGGTGGGCAGGTGGCGCCAGGTGGCTTCGGCCCCTCCAAGCCACCTGCATGCCCCCCCTCGCCACACCTGGAGGGCCGGAGCACGTGCGCCACCTGGCGCAAGTTTGAATTCGGAAACGGAAAATCCGAGCCACGGAAGGGCTGGCCTGCCAAACGCGAGCCTCCCCGCTCCTCCCCGCGCTGCAAACTGCCACCGTGGGGTGTGTGAAAGAAGGCCTGCGGCGGTCATCGGCGGCTACAATCAATGTCCGGCGTCGACATAAGCCTGGGGCTTCAACCCGGCCCGCGCGGGCGTTTGGTGTGGCTGCAAACGCCGCAGGAGCCGGTGGCTGCGCTGCTCACGCGCCGTTGCTGCCGACGCTGAGCAGTCTGACTCGCCAATGAGAAGACTGCCCGATAATACGCCATCACTCGATCCCCGATAAACCAGGCCATGCAGAGCTTTGTTTGTCGGCCTCGTCGACGTCGTGTGCCGGCTGCGCGGTAGAGTTGCGAGAGTGGATTGTGGAGGCGCGGCGGGGGCGGCTCGTGGTGCCGAGGCGGTGTATAGTACATTCCTATTCAAAAGAACACGCACGATGAAATTCCCGAAGTGACGCCCAGGTGGCGCACGTGCTCCAGCCCTCCAGGTGTGGCGAGGGGGGGCATGCAGGTGGCTTAGAGGGGCCGAAGCCACCTGGAGCCACCTGCCCGGGCCCAGGTGGCGCACGTGCTCCAGCCCTCCAGGCAGGTGTGGCGAGGGGGGCAGGTGGCTTGGAGGGGGGCGAAGCCACCTGGCGCCACCCGAGCGGTCACATGGCCACAGGCGGCGTTTGGAATCTACTCCAGGTGCTTTTTGCACTGTTTTGCCCATGGCCACAGGCGGCGTAAGCCATCTGCTCCAGGTGCTTTTTGCACTGTTTTGCCCATGGCCACAGGCGGCGTAAGCCATCTGCTCCAGGTGCTTTTTGCACTGTTTTGTCCATGTCCACAGGCGGCGTAAGCCATCTGCTCCAGGTGCTTTTTGGACTGTTTTGCTCATGGAGCAAGTGGCTAAAGCCACCTGCATTTTGTGCAAAAAGCTGCAAAGGACTCGTGGAGGCACGTGGCGCTTTCCGCGTGTGTCTCGTGCAAAATCCGGCATTTTGTGGCTTTCAGGTGGCACGACGCGATTCAGGTGGTGTGGAGCCTCCTACCTGGGCCCATCTATGCTCAGCTAGAGGAGCTTGTTGAAGCCAGCCCGCGTTGTGTGCCTGTGTGTATGCATATGCGTTTGGAGACTCACAAATAGGTCCTCTGCGCGCCACGGATTGGTCATCGTCCTGGCGTGTCGCGTGAACGCTCGCGGCCCCCACATCGAGACCGTTCACTACACTGAATACTCTCCCCCAGAGCGCGCATGTTGGGGCCATACACACAACGCGGCGTCTACACGCGTGCACGCGTGACGCAACGCTCACGCATTCTCGCGTTACGGCTTACGCCTTCGATGACTAAGACCACGCAATCTCAACTCAAACCACAGGCCTCCGGCCCCTGCTGTTTTGCGGTGGTGCACCAGATCCAGCACAATCAAGATCCACACGCAGTCCACACTGACTTCACTACCTGAGTTCACTACTGACTTGGGCTGGGTCGTCAAACGACCTCGGGGTGGAATCTATGAGCATTTGATTCATTTCTGAGCAGATGCTTGTGTGACCTGTCGAAAACCTCAGCTGCTGCCCCCAAGAAGATTGAGCCGTGGGCGTCAGGGCAATGATGGGCGGCTCTTATTGTTGGCTTTGTGGTCGGTGTATTCTTTGGAAAAAAGAAAGAACAGACAAACCAAACGAGGGATGGGGAGGAGGCAGGGTCCCCACCGGTGTATTCTTTGGTCCAGGTGTCCACGTGTGGCTAGGATTTCTTTTCTCATCGGACATCGCCAGCCACGGGAGGCTATGCGCTCTTTGTCAAGGTATATTGTTGGCTTTGTGGTCGGTGTATTCTTTGGTCCACGTGTCCACGTGGTTTCGCGTTTTCTTTTCTCATCGCTAGCCTAGAGCTCTTGCTTGGACTTGGTCCAGTCACCTTTGTTTCCCGAACGCCACCCTGCGGCCGCTAGGTTTTTCTCATCGTTTCTTCTCATCGTACCTGTGTTAGTGCCAGTGCCCGCCAGTCCCGTGCCCAGTGCCGTGCCAGGTTTTTCGATGATAAAGGTTTATCATAAATTCTTGCATCGCAGCCGGTGCTAGTGTCAATTGCGAGGCAATCTTCTCCGCAGCAAGCAGCAGCAGGCGATGCCCGACGAGCTGGGCGATCGCGAGGAGGGTCCCACAAATAGCCGCTTTGGGGGGCGGGACGTCATCGCGGTGGTGAGCAAAGACGGCACAACCTGAGCGCACTCGCAAACCTGCGTCAGCAACCGCATCTCACAATCATAGGCCAAGCTGCCGGTCGCGGCGGCGATGGTGTACAAGTGCGACGGCGAGTTGATGCCGACCAAGTCGCTAAAGAACAAGCTCGGGCCGATGCAGAAGGCCGAGCCCGACGAGCCCGCGGTGCCGACTACCTCGGTCGTCGCGGCCGAGCCCAAGGCTGTGCTGGGCGCGGCGGCGATCGTTTCGCCGCCGACCACGGTCGGACCCCTCCTTCCCGCCCCCACCGACGCCGGCATTAAGCTGCCAGTGAAGGCCGAGGCCGCGGTGGTCAAGAAGAACACGATTGTGGCCGTGCGGCTGCCGCGGAAGCCGGCGGCGGGGTGCCTCGTGCCCGCTGCTGTGCGAAGCAGTACCCGTTCCTCACTCTCCCAACTACTTCGCACCGACGTCTTTAGGCGCATAGAGCCCACGCCTCCACCGCGGCGCAAGATGAAGAAGAGCGAGCCCCCCTACTACTCGGGGCACGTCACGCCGGCAGGCAAGGGCAAGCAGAATGTGCTGCCGCCCGGCTACTTTCGGACCGTCAAGGGTGCCAGCGACCGCCACCACTGGAACTACCACGGGCCCGACGGCTGCATCATCTCCGAGTCCGCGTCCAAGGCGTGGCAGCATTTCCGCGAGAACGGGCCCCTTGAAGCCGCCGACCTTGCTTCCGCCGCGCTCATCAACGTCGCCCCCGCCGCCGCAAACGCCGCCGCCGCTGAGACCGTTGGTGTCACTGTCGCCGTCGCCGCCGCAGACGCCAGCTGCGACACGAGCCAGCAATTTGGGCAAGACAGCTTCAGCGATTGGGAGGGCTACGGCAGCGCAGAGGAGGACGGCGAGCTCGCGGGGGAATTCGCCTCGCTCTACGCGTCGCCCGCCTCGGCCACGTGCTCTCCGCGTTCCCCTTTCACCGACGCCTACTCTGCCATGACGTCGAAGAGTGCGTCGCCCGCATTCAGTGCACTGGAAGGGCTCGACGACTTCAACCTGCCGCCGGCGCTGACTGACCTGTTCGACGACGCCTTGCGTTCGCGGTCTCGCACGGCGAGCCCGTTTGCCGTGCATGCCGACTACCCGCCCGCCTCGCCCCTCGCCGACGGCCTCGGCGAGCTGAATAGCCCCTGGTCGGACGGGGGCGGCCTCGCGTCCGGCGCACTGTGGCGCGAGGACGTCGTTCCAAAGGACATCCCGACGCCGCTTGCCGCAAAGGACGCCCCGCCGCTCCACGGCGGCGATGCCGGGGCCGCCCACGACGAGGCGCCGCCCTCTACTCCCGCGCCCGTGCAGAGCGGCGTCGGAGAGCGCGAGTCGCAGCGGCAGCGCAAGGCGCCGTCGCGCTGGTCCGCCGACCCGCTCTCTGTCCTCAACCTCGGGGGGAGGCTGTCTGAGCTTGAGCAAGCCCGCGGCGGTGGCGATGCCGGCGGCGGTGACGATGCCGGGGGCGGCGGACTGCGGCTTCCCGCGCCGCGCGCCCGCAAGAAGATCATCGGGCGGGTCATCGCGTGCGGCACGCCGGGCTGCTCTCGCGGGGCCTACCACGATGGGCTCTGCTCGACCGAGCGGGCGGGCAAGCGCACCCGCTCGACCACTAACAAGAACGGCCGCAAGCGGTCGCGAGCGGGCCCCCAGCAGTAGGCTGCCGCCGTCTCGCGCGGGCGCTGCAACCTCGCTCGCGCGCATGTAAATGAACGGCACCCCTCGCGACGGAGAGCTCGAAGGAGAGGGGGGGAGCGGTATCCCCGGCCCTCTCTACGCGGCGCTCCTGTCGCCCATTAATCGGACGGTCATGCGCGAGAGTGCGTCCGCTCGAATATGGGAGACGTCCGCATGGGATCTATCGGCGTGGTTAGCTGCCACGCCTGTGCTGTGCTGAGAGGCCTGTGAGTGTGCGTGTATTCGTCAGCGCGTGTGCGCGCGCGACGAAGTGCTTTTGTGTCCCCGGTTCCACAGTAAGGAACGGAACCGCTGCGCTGGGTTCCACCGGTGTGCGCTACCTTGCGTTGGTCGTTCGTGTGCGCGTGGACCTCGAGCTCGTAAAACCATCCGTGGATTGGCACGGCGTTACCTTTCCCCCAACGCCAAGCGAAGCGACTGGCGACAGGAGCCCCGAGACGGATCGTTGCGCGTGTGTACACAGTATATTGGGGTGAGTATACGGCGTTACTGACTGACTATTGCGTGCCTGCGTGTGCCCCCCCGGCTGGAGGCTGGAGCCCCCCGCCCGCCCCGCTCTCCCGCACGCACACACAGATCAGTGCATGTGTCACACGCCGCGCCGCTCTCTGCAGTCTCTGAGCACTCACACACAGGTCTCACGCACACGCACCGCGCGCGGCAAGCCGGGGGGGGCGGGGGTGAACCTGAGTCGCAGGGACGAGCTAGAAGGGGGAAAGCGGGATCGAGCCTAGCTAGCTAGCCCGCCGCGTAGGGGATCGCGCTTTTCGCGGGGAAAGCCGGGATTAGGGTTTAGTCATGCGTTAATTGGCGGTGGCAAAACACCTCAGAAGACACAGAACCCTCTCTACTGGCTACACTCAGGGGCAGAGGGGTAACGGGTATACCCGATGCCAAGCTCTCGGCGTGTATGCCATAATCGCAATGCGCACCTCGGCTTGGCCTCGAGCTGGCCCCGCACAAGTGTCATGGTCTTATGCACTGGTCTCAAGTGTCCGCCGCTATCCTCCCTCCTCACACCTCCTCACTCCCCCGCGACGAGCTTTTTGGCGGCCCACGCCCAGCAGGCGACCGTCGCGACAAAGCTGACCGACGGGACGGTGGACAGGCCTGACGTCATGAAGAGACCAGGTGTGAGGGCGGGAGTACGGTGTCTCGCATCCCGTCTTCACAGCATCTACACACGGGCGACGATCCCAGCCGAATACAGCCGAATACAGCTGGATGCGCGCCCCCTCGACTGCGAGTCTGACTCGGGGGGTGTGTACTCCGCATCTAGGGCAGGCCGTGCGCGCCGAGCCGGCGGGCGAGGATGCCGGTCAGCGCGAGCAGGTTGACCGCCTTACGAGGTGCAGGCGCGAGGCGAGGTGAGGCAAGCTCCTCTCCGACACGCCTGTGTGTGTGCGGGGCAGGGGGCAGGCCCATCCCGCGCATCGGCCCCGGGACATGCAGCAGCCCCGCGGCATTCAAAGCGCAGCGCTCCCCCGGCGCGCGTGTGGGACAGGGCAGTGCGATGGCGGGGCCTTGACGGCGACTGTCCGCTGCTTGGGCGCGACGGCGGCGGCGGCGAGGCTGACGAAGACGCACGCCGCCGCCTCGGCGGGGAGAGTGCCGACGAGGGGCAGCCGGCCTGAGGCGCACGGAGGTACAGGGGGGTGAACTTCGGCGCACCACGCGGACACAAGCGACAAGAGGGACGAGTACGGTGGACGCGGTTCAACTTTCAGCCGAGCGCGAGTGGCGGTCGGAAGGCGCGGACCCTGTGTTCCGCATCGACGGGCAGCCGGCCTCCGTGCTGCATCTCGTCTAGGTCTCGTCTAGGTCTCGGCCAGGTCTCGGCTAGGTCTCGGCTAGGTCTCGGCTAGGTCTCGGCTAGGTCTCGGCTAGGTCTCGGCTAGGTCTCGGCTAGGTCTCGGCTAGGTCTCGGCCTCCATGCTGCAGCTCGACGGCGAGCGCGAGGAAGGAGGCGAGGGTCGTGAAGGCGGCGTAGACCTTGAGAGTGCACGCACAGAGGGAGCTGAGGGTGGGGCTGCGGTCTCCTGCGCCTCGCGTGACTACCGAGGGCTGCGGACGCAAGTCTCCTCGCCAGTGCCGGCGGGGTGGCAGCGGGTCTGTGCCCAGCATTGCTCCGCACTAGGTGGCTGCATCTAGGTGGCAGGCCGAGAAGGCGAGCCGCTGGAGCCCGAGGGGCGGGCCGGCGCTGCGGAGCGGGAAGCCGGCGAGGAGAGGGACGAGGGGCAGGGTGAGGGACGACGCAAGGGGCAGCGCGCCCGCCGCCGCGTTTGAGGCGAACAGCAGCCACGCCGTCGCGGCGCAGTTTGCAGCAGCGAGCGCCGTGAGGCTGTCCTGCTTTAGAGGCGTTCGGCCAGGGAGCGGCAGCGCGGAGCTGGCGAGGGTGAGGAGCTGCAGCAGCGAGATGGCGGGCCAGATCAGGAAGACGAAGTTCGCCGGCGTGACCAGGGTCGGGAAGAGAGCCGCGAAGGCCTCGTTCGTCGTCGGGCCGACGCCGCGCGTGATGACGGAGCGCAGCGTCGCGACCCCGCCGACCATCATCGGCATCGGCATGGACATCATCGTCGTCGAGATGAGGCCAAAATAGGCGAGTGAGGCGCTCGCGGGGACGTGGTTGGCGAGGCGGACCGCGCGAGAGACGACCTGCGTGTCCAGCTTCTCGAGCAGTCCGGCCCGGTCAAAGGCGCCCCACTCAAAGCCGGCCGGAGGCGGAGCGGCGGCGAGCCGCAGCTGGGCGCGGAGCGGCGGCCGGGCGGGATGGGCGACCGCGAGCGAAGCGGTCAACGCGGCGAGCATATGTTCCCGGCTCGGTGCTGGGTTCGAGGCCGGAGGAGTCAGGGGGTAGGATGCCGGGTGGAGACGCCATACACCCCATACACCCCTACCCCTCCATTTGGGCGTGTAGCTGACGCTCTACCCCCTACCCCGGCCCTACCCCGTACCCGCTACCGCTACCCTACCCCCCAATCAGCAATCATCTCGAACCCTGCTCCATGAAGAGACCTCGAGAGTGCGTGCGAGTGCCTCTACTCCGTACTCGCCCGGGCATGCATCACTGCCCCGGCGCCCACGCCTCGATCTTCTTGGGCAACAGCTGGTTCGACAGGTCCTCTCCGTGGCCTAGGCAGCCGTGGCCGCCCTCGCCCCAGGTAAAGAAGGCGCCGTCGGCGGTGAGGGCGAAGCTGCGGTACAGCCCAGCCGACACGGCGTTAACGCGCCGCCCCGCAAAGGCCTCGATCTTCTTGGGGAGCAGCTGGCGATGCTCGTCGCCGTGGCCCAGCCGGCCGTTGTATCCATAGCCCCAGCTCCAGACGGCTCCGTCGGCGGTGAGGGCGAGGCTGTGGCCATCTCCAGCCGAGACAGCGACGACGCGCTGGCCAGCCAACGCCTCGACCTTCTTGGGCAGCAGCTGCTGCTGCCGGTCGCCGTGGCCCAACTGGCCCTCCTCTCCACGGCCCCAGCTCCAGAGGCTGCCATCGGCGGTGAGGGCGAGATTGTGCTCGGCTCCCGCCGAGACAGCGACGACGCGCTGGCCAGCAAAGGCCTCGACCTTCTTGGGCTCCAGCTGGGGCTGCCTGTCGCCGTGGCCTTGCTGTCCGGAGTGGCCACCGCCCCAGCTCCAAACAGCTCCGTCGGCGGTGATGGCGATGCTGTGCAGACCTCCAGCCGACACGGCGACGACGTGCTGGCCAGCAAAGGCCTCGACCTTCTTGGGCAGCAGCTGGGCCTGCCGGTCGCCGTGGCCCAACCGGCCGTTGTATCCATAGCCCCAGCTCCAGACGGCGCCGTCGGCAGTTATTGCGAGGCTGTGCGCGCCTCCAGCCGACACGGCGACGACGCGCTGGCCAGTCAAGGCCTCGACTTTCTTTGGCTGCCACTGCTCCTCCTCGTCGCCGTGGCCCAGCTTGCCAGAGCCTCCACCGCCCCAGCTCCAGACGGCCCCGCCGGCAGTGAGGGCGAGGTTGTGGTTGACTTCAGCCGCCACGCTCACGGCGCGCTCGCCGCCCAGCGCCGACGGGAGGCGGGTCGGTGTGTGGAGCCGCGTCACGCCCTCGCCGTGACCGAGCAGCCCTGGATAGTAGGACAGCGCAGAGCCGCACGACGAGAGCCGCCCCTCGCCGTCGATGAAAACGCTGTGCCGCTCGCCTGCCGACGCCCTCGCCGGCGGGTTGGACTCGCACAGCAGCGCCGAAACGCACAGCCACCGCACGGCGCAGCTCTCGCCCTCTGGCTGCGCTGGCAGCTCGAAGCCGCGCTCTTGCGCCCACAAGCGGATGCCCTCCAGCGCAAGCGAGGCGTGAAAGAGGAGCGAGACGGCCGCGACGCGAGCGATGTCGACGGGGTCACAGCGAGAGACGACGCGCACGAGGAGCTCCGTGGGGAGGTCGAGGAGGCGGGCGGGCGGCGGCGTGTCTGGATAGGGGGCGGCGGTGGAGGCGGAGGCGAGGCGGCGCGAGCGACGGCGCGGCGGTGTCGACATCGCATGAATTTTTTTTGAGCTTAGCCTTCGATGTTATGAAACAACGCAAGGGGGACATGGCATATCGCTCTCGGGCCCACAGACATCCCGGCGGGGTGGACATCGCGAGAAAAAGAATCTAGTTACGGGGTGGGCCGTGAAACAAGAAATCAAGCTCCTCGGCAAACGCACAGGCCGCTCCGGGTCGCATCCCTCGTGCACTCAACAGCGACTCAAGACCATGCCCGCGGAGCTAGAGTCGGCAACGACCGTCGACTCTGCTGGCAACACGGTGACGGCTGCCAGTGCGACGGCGATGAGCGGTGGAAAGCTCGAGACGCTCTGCGTGGCAATCGTGGACCCGATCTCCACCGGCGCCTGCCTCGCCAAGCATCTCAGCTCGCAGGGCTACAGGTCGTGCACCCTCGCCGCCGCCTACCATTCCCGTTTCCTTGCAATCGGCACTTTCGCTATTCCTACCATTCGCTGTCACCGCCAGGCTCACACGCCATAGGCTGTGCCGGGTCTTCTCCGACACGATTCCCGACAGCGTCAAGGCGCTCGTCGCCGCCGGACTTGAGGTGGACTGGGAGGTTACCATCCAGCACGAGGGCCGTGTGGCGAGCACACTGGCGGCCCTCAGGGGCGTGGGCGTCACGCACCTCTTGGTTGGCTCCGAGCCGGGCGTCTCGCTGCATGCCGAGCTCTCGGCGGCCTTTGCTGGCGGCGCGGCGCTTTCGCTGCCTCGGGAGGCGCTCGAGCTGCGGCGCAACAAGTACCTGCAGAGCGAGGCGATCCGGTCCGCGGGCTGCGACGCGGTGCACCAGCGGCTGGCGCACACGCACGACGACGTCGAGGCCTTCATCCACACGATCGAGGCGTCGGCAGCCAAGCGCTTCAAGGCGCGGCCCGCTGCCCGTCTTCTCGGAACCTTCTCGAAAGGCTCTCGGACCCCTCTCGGACCCCTCTCGGACCCTTCCTTCGCCAGGCGGTCGTCAAGCCGGTGGAGGGGGCCGGCTCGGACGGGGTGACAATCTGCAACTCGGCGGCGGAGGTGCGCTCGAGACATGGGCCTCGAGATGCACATGCACATGCACATGCACGAGTGCATGTGCCGAGTGCCGTGGCGACTCCGCTGACGCCCGGCCTGCCCCGGCCTGCCCCGGCCTTAGGTGCGGCTGGCGTTTGGCAAGCTCGAGGGGACCAAGAACATCCTCGGCCTCGACAACTACGCCGTCCTCTGCCAAGAGTACCTCGAGGGCGACGAGTGGGTCGTCGACACGGTCAGCCGCGCCGGCGAGCACAAGGTGGTCGCGCTCTGGAAGTACGACAAGCGCGACTACCACGGCTCTCCCGTCGTCTACCACGGGATGCGGCTGCACAACGTCGAGGCGGACGAGCCGCTGCTGCGCGGCATGGTCGCATACGTGACGGCGGTGCTAGACGCGCTCGGCATCACCGACGGCGCGATGCACTCCGAGATCATGGCGACGGCGCGCGGACCCGTCCTCGTCGAGGTACATCCGCCGGCTGCATCTCGGCGTATCTCGGCCCATCTCGGCCCATCTCGGCGTATGTCGTCCTCGGCTCAGGTAAACTGCCGGCTGCACGGCGGCGAGGGGATCTGGCTGCCGATAGCAGAGGCCTGCCTCGGCTACACGCAAGTCTCGGCGCTGTGCGACTCCGCCTTTGCGCCGCCCGCCTTCGCGTCGCTCCCCGCCACGCCACGCTCGCCGCTGCTCAAGCACGGCGCGTGGGTGACGATCCGCTCGCCGGCCGACGGCACCATCACGGCGGTGAGCGCCGCGCCATCCCGGCTGCGGCGGTGGCAGCGGCGCGCCTCGCGACGGCTCACCCTCGCCGCCCCTCCCGCGCGCCTCAGGTGCACCACGAGAAGCTGGCGCGGATCCGCGCGCTCCCCTCCTTCCTCGGGGAGTACTGCGCGCCGTGCATCAAGGTTGGCTGCCGCATCCGTCAGACGGTCGACGCGACGACGGTGCACGGCTGCTTCAACCTGGCGCACGCCGCGCCCGCCCCTCGAGGCGGAGCCGCGGGCACAGCGCCTCCTCACGCCTCCTCACGCTGGGAGCAGGTGCACGCCGACGCCGCTACCCTCGAGGCAGACTACCGCGTGGCGCAGCAGCTGATCGACGAGGGCCTCTTCGCCTTCACGCCGGCGGCGGCGGGCGAGAAGGACGTCGTCCGCGTCGAGACGCCGAAGGGGCCGCGCTTCTCGTACCAGCTGAGCGAGCAGGAGCAGGTCCAAAACTCGCTCTGGGGGCTGCAGCACATCTGGAGGCCCCTCGAGGAGAACAGCGGCGCGGTGCCCCTCCGCAAGCTGCGCGCCGTCCGCCGCTCCGGCTGGCGCTTCTGAGGCGGCCGCGCCGATTGCCCAAGCTGGGCGTGCGCCCCTGATTTGTGTAGTTGATGGGCCATACGCGGGCGGGCCGGGCCGGCGTCGTAGGCTCGCGCCGCGTACTGTGTCGCTCGAAGAAAAGAAACGCATTGACCGGGGCCCGTGTTGTGAGGAAAGAATTAGAAAAAATCCCCTCACGACGGAGCGACACGCGAGGCCGACGGTCGCCCCACTTCGGGCTGACCGTATAATACTATTAAATTAAATTGGCCGGTATAGCGGCGAGAGCATACAGCGAGTAAATGCAGTACGAAAGCGCCGGGTCAGGGACGGCTCCCCGCGTGGCCCTGCAGACTGCGCATAGAGCTGTCTTGCAAGGATCTTTGCGGTTCAGTCCTTCCAAGTCAAGCGGATGCGGGCGTGCTGGGCGGCCACGCCTCGACCTTCTTGGGCAGCAGCTGGTTCGACAGGTCCTCTCCGTGGCCTAGGCAGCCGTGTTCGCCCCCGCCCCAGCTCCAGGCGGCGCCGTCAGCAGTGAGGGCGAGGCTGTGCTCACGTCCCGCCGACACAGCGACGACGCGCCGCCCAGCGAAGGCCTCGACCTTCTTGGGCTGCCACTGGCTCTGCTCGTCGCCGTGGCCCAACCGGCCAAAGGCTCCCTCGCCCCAGCTCCAGACAGCTCCGCCGGCGGTGATGGCGAGGCTGTGGAAGCCTCCCGCCAAGACAGCGACGACACGCTGACTAGCAAAGGCCTCGACCTTCTTGGGCAGCAGCTGGCTCTGTTGGTCGCCGTGGCCCAACCGGCCATGGTAACCAAGGCCCCAGCTCCAGACGGCGCCGTCGGCAGTGAGGACGAGGCTGTGCGCGTATCCCACCGACGCAGCGAGGACACGCTGGCCAGCAAAAGCCTCGATCTTCTTGGGCAGCAGCTGGGGCTGCTCGTCGCCGTGGCCCAACCGGCCCCCACCTCCCCAGCCCCAGCTCCAGACAGCGCCGTCGGCGGCGAGGGCGAGGTTGTGCAGACCTCCCGCCAAAGCAGCGACGACGCGCTGGCCCGCCAACGCCTCGATCTTCTTCGGCTCCAGCTGGCTCTGCCTGTCGCCGTGGCCCAACTCGCCATCCTCTCCACGGCCCCAGCTCCAGACGGCTCCGCCGGCGGTGATGGCGAAGCTGTGGAAGCCTCCAGCCGCCGCGGCGATGACGCGCTCGCCAGCGATCACCTCGACCTTCTTGGGCTGCCACTGGCTCTGCTGGTCACCGTGGCCCAACCGGCCGTCGCCTCCATCGCCCCAGCTCCAGACGCTGCCGCCAGCGGTGAGGGCGAGGCTGCGCCTGAACCCAGCCGACACGCTCACGACGCGCTCACCCAGCGTCGACGGGAGGCGGATCGGCGTGTTGAGCCGCGTCACGCCCTCACCGTGGCCGAGTGCCCCTGGGTTGAAGGACGACGCATTGCCGCACGACGAGAGCCGCCCCTCGCCGTCGATGAAGACGCTGTGCCGAGCGCCTGCTGCCGCCCTCGCCGGCGGGTTGGACTCGCGCAGCAGCGCAGCGAAGCACAACCACCGCACGGCGCAGCTCTCGCCCTCTGGCTGCGCCGGCAGCTCGAAGCCGCGCTCTTGCGCCCACAAGCGGATGCCCTCCACCGCAATCGAGGCGTTGAAGAGGAGCGAGACGGCCGCGGCGCGAGCGATGTCGGCGGGGTCGCAGCGAGAGACGACGCGCACGAGGAGGTCCGTGGGGAGGTCGAGGAGGCGGGTGGGCGGCGGCGTGTCTGGCGAGGGAGCGGCGGTGGCGGCGGGGGCGAGGGCGGCGCGAGGCGGGGCAGACATATATATATATATCGCGAGAAAAAGAATCTTAAAAGCAAACGCCTCGCACAACACTGGGCACGGGACTGAGAAAAAGAATTTGAGCGCGCTCCAGAAAAAAGAATTTTGCGCCAAGTGGGTGAGGGAGTGCGAGAAAAAGAATTTTAAATAAAAGAATTTTACCCATAATTCGGTCGCACGAGACGATTCGCGCGACAGGCGAGGCGCGGGCGACGGCTCCGTCGCCCGCACCACAGGAGCAGTCACACCACTCCGGCGCCCACCCTCACACCCCACCCCGACATCGAGGAAGAAAATTTTGCAATCAACTCCCTCGCACGACACTAGGCACGGGACTGGCGCGCACTGGCACTAACACAGGCACACCACGGGAAGAGAATTTTTTACAACAAAACTCCCTCGCACGACACTGGGCACGGGACTGGCGCGCACTAGCACTAACACAGGTACACCACGAGAGCCGCCTAGAAGCGACTCCTGCGAGGACGGCGAGGCACTTGCTCCGTGCACTCGACCGCCCTCGCCGCAGGCAAGCTCATTCACAATCTGCTCTGCGATGGCCGTGTGAAAGAACGACTGAGATACGCTGCTTCTGCAGCCCCAACCAGCTCTTGGTGGCCCAAGTCACCTCATCGAGGTACTGGGCCCGCGTCAGCTTGTTCTGCAGCACGTTCGCCGCCTTCCAGAGGATCTCGCGGACCCCCTTTACCCGCGGGCCTTGAAGGCCCGCGCGCAGGGGGGTGGGACATTGAGACCGGTCATGAATGAGAGAGAGAGATTTTTAGCAATACCAAATGAGTGCGCGACACGCATGTTGAGAGAGATTTTTAGCAATACCAAACAACTCTATTGTTTTGTTTGTCGCATGTTGCGAGCAGCGTTGTTGATGTTTTGCGCATATAAATAAAAACACAAACCCCGGACCCAAGACGCACAAGCACAGACAGTCCCGAGAAGTGCTCGGCGATAAGTCAAAGAATGAAAAACTCTAGTGGAGCTCACTAGGAAAAGAATTTAAACAAGACAACAAAGCGGAAACAGAATAACGCGGAGCTGGACGCACGCAACTTGCCGTGACTCCCGACTCTCTCTCGTAGGTCATTGGGTAGCGAGGATTGATGCAGACCCCGCCGGGCACGCTCAGCAACCCCGCGCCGGTGTGGAGGCTCCGCGGCGCATTCAGCGCTGCCATCGGCGTGGCGTGCTGCTTTTTGGCCGCGCGGCGCAGCTCCACCACCCACTGGAGCCAAGCCTGCCACTCCTTCCTCCTCGGCCTGGGGACTTGCTTCCTCACGGCTGGCCTCGCTTTTCTCTTCTTCTCTCTGCCGTCCTATCGCGGCCACATGCCAGATAGGCTGCGTCCGCTCCCCTTTTTCGTACCCTGTCCTGACACTGGTTGCTGGCTGAGGCAGTGGGAGGCGTCGCTCCGGGCCATGCAGCGTGGCAGCACAGTCTCATTCAAGCCGTCTGCAGCGCGCTGGCGGGCTTTCCGCGAGGCTCAGTATGGCCTCCACGGCCGGTCCACCCGATCCGCTCTGCATTGGCTCGGCCTGTGCGAGGCTGCCGTGGGCACAGCCGCCGCGCTCCTCGGTCTCTGCTTTGGAGCATTCAACGCGTGGGTCTTCTGCATCAGTCGGCGCGCCAGGTGGCTCTGCAGTCACGAGAGCATCATGCCCTTTGCGTTGACAATGCTCGCCCCCTTTGCCGCCTCTCTCCCCGTCTACGCCCGCCTGTGCTGGTTGTGGCTGTGCTTTTGGAACGCGCGGGAGGAGGAGCCACCGAGCATTGCAATTCACAGAGGGGCGAAGAAGGACGCCGGCGTACCAACCCTCCTATTTCGCCACCTGCTGGTCCGTGTCAATGCAGAGGCGGCGGTGCTGCAAGAGGATGACGGCCCTGTGCTTGGCCTTGATGTTCACGGGGTAGACGGCATCTTTGAGACGATTGCGCGCGTGCTCCCGCGCGGGTTGCACCGCGTGCACGTGCCTCTCGACGCCGACTTCGACGCTGGCACCCTGTCGCGAAGCGGCTTCACGCTGCTCCAAGAGGCGAGAGATTAGAATAGAGATACATGACCACCCTGCACACTCACGGACTTTGTTCGAGGACGAAACTCGCTTGGGCGCTGCTTGAGGGCGCGCTGCCGGTGCGAAGAACTGCCCCTCGGCTCAGTCTCCGTCATAGTTTCTTATCTAACCGAGCAGCGCGCTCCCTCCTCGCAAAGACACAATCCAAGCCCACATCACAACCTCTCACACACAAACGCACAGCGCGACAGATCTCGTGTGAGAGAGCACACACGTCGTGTCACCACGTATGTGAGTGAGTGTGTGTCACGCACGCAAAAGAGCACACAACGAAGACGGAGGGGAACAAATCGATCTCGCACGCGGCGCGGCGTCCCTCCGCGCACACACAGAAACCAGTGGAGGACGGACTCACACGACACCACCGACGGCGCCAGCCCAGACTCACAAGTAACACCACAGCACCACTCACTCACTCACTCCTCCACAGTCACAACATGCGAAGATGTCGGTCTCTCTCACCAAAATCCACCAAGAGCGCCCCGTCGCGCTACCTAGATACTCAGATGGTCTCACTGCAGTAGGTTAGACCAGCACCGCGCGAGCGCGCGCAAAGGCGCCCGTCCTGACCGCGAGCAGGGCGGCGAGGCCGAGGGCCGCTGCGGCGACGCTCGCTCCACGGACTGAGGGTGCCGCACCTGAAGGCTCTGCGCGAAGGAACTTGAAGAAGAAGAAGTCCATGCCCGGTGGAGGTAGGGACGGAGGGGGCGGAGGCTTATGCATGATCTCCCACTCGATTTGTGCCTCAACCAGGGTATCGTCAAACTCATCACTTGCAACATAGACGTGGTTCTCTAGCGCCGCCGCGACGTCGAGCCCTCGTTTGCCGTGCATTGGCTGAGCACGGGGCGTGCCTCCGCTGTCGTCGCTGTACGGTTTCGGAGCCACTGAGGCGACAGGCAGAGCCACCACCGCAAGGAGGAGGGAGCGGGCGAGCATCTAGCTGGGTGTGTGTCCGCGTCGTTTGACAGTAGAGCTCGGCGGGCGAAAACTGCACCTAGAGTTGCATCCTTCCATGGACCATGGAACGGCCGAACCCGGATGGAATTTCTCTTTCCCCCGAGGTTCGAAAGTGTTAGGTACTTGTCGTCCCTCCCCAACCCTGCTCGGCCGAGCGCTACGAGCGCTACGATTGGAGCGTCGGTCGGTCGGTCGGTCGGTACAGTGGGTTGCTACTTACTGACTGTCGTCCATCATCACCCTCTCGTGGCACGTGGGCGTCCTCGCGCCACCGCAAAAAAAGAATGAGACTCGCGGTTTCGATCCATTCGTTCCAGCCCCGTCTCGGAGCTCAGCGTCCACAGAAAGAGAGCAAGCAAGTAAACGGCCTCCCCGGGGGGTTTCTTGGTGCTGGTGGCAGCAGCTTCCGGCTGGCTGGGCCACAGCCCGCTCGCACAATCAGCTGCTGCCCAAGAACCCAGGTCGAGACCTTGGGGTGGGCCAGCGCGTCGTCACTGTCTCGGCCGAAAACATGCACATCCTCGCAATAACTGCCCCCGACAAGTATAGGTACGGGGCTCCCTGTGCGGTGGCCGGGCGTCTAGTAATAGTATTCAATAGACCCGCCCCTCTCGCAATCGGCGTAGCGCGCTCCCCGCCCGGCGCACACGCTTACACGGCGGTCTCTCGCGTACAGACGCCCCCTCGTTGGCAAATGTGAAAGGACATCACACCGTCGAGACATCACCGACCTCCCTCTCCAGCTCGGCGACGAGCTGGGACAATCGCTCGAGCACGCCCAGCGCCACCTGCAGGTGCGTGAAGGCGACGGCGGCGTCGCCGCCGCTTGCCGCCACCCCGCCGCCCTCGCCACGCCTCTCTTCCTCGCGCGCCGCCGCCCACGCCGCATCCATCTCGTGCCGCATTTTCGCCTCCAGCGGCTTCAAGGTCTCGCGCCGCAGCGCCGCCGCCGCCGCCAGCTCGAGGCCGGGCGAACCGCCCCCTAACGGATGCACGAATGAGTCAATTGATTAGGCCGTCGAGCCGCCCCCCTACCGCACCGCAGGACCCTCCTGACGAGGAGCCGCCGCCTCCGCCGCCGCCTCCTCCGCCGCCGCCTCCGCCGCCGCCGCCTCCTCCTCCTTCTCCGCCGCCTCCTCCACCTCCTCCGCCGCGACGTGCCGCCAGTGCCGAGGCGACGAGGAGGCGCGCCAAGTTGAGTGCGCCAAGGATGGCGTCCAGACTCTCGTCGAGGGCCGCGTCGCCTGGTCTCGGGTGATCTCGGGTGATCTCGGGTGATCTCGGGTGGTCTCGGGTGATCTCGCCTGGTCCGTTGTGGCACTAGCACGCGGGCTCTACCTGGCTGCTCGCTCGATCACACGGACACATGCCGAGCCTGCTCGGCATCTACAGCCCGCATCGCCTCCTCGAGCAGCCTCGTCGAGCACTGTGCGGAGCAGAGGCAGCAGCGCCGCGGCGCCGAAGTGGGGCCCGCCCGCCCCCTCCGCCGCACCCGCCCCCTCCGCCGCACCCGCCGCGCCGCCGCGCCTACGCGTCTCGTCGAGATGACCCGAGATGACCCGAGATGGCCCGAGATGGCCCGAGATGGCCCGAGATGTGACCCGAGGTGGCCCGAGGTGCGCCTGCGCGTCTCGTCGAGATGCTCCTGCTTCAGCCGGTGCAGCAGCAGCGCGCCCGCCTTCGGGTCACCTCAGGTCATCTCGGGTCATCTCAGGTCACCTCAGGTCATCTCGGGTCATCTCAGGTCATCTCGGGTCATCTCGGGTCACCTCGGGTCACCTCAGGTCATCTCGGGTCACCTCGGGTCACCTCGGGTCATCTCGGGTCATCTCAGGTCATCTCAGGTCATCTCGGGTCATCTCGGGTCATCTCGGGTCACCTCAGGTCACCTCGGGTCATCTCGGGTCATCTCGGGTCACCTCGGGTCACCTCAGGTCATCTCGGGTCATCTCAGGCCATCTCGGGTCATCTCGGGTCATCTCGGGTCATCTCAGGTCATCTCGGGCTCATCTCGGGTCATCTCGGGTCATCTCGCCCGCCTTCGGGTGGCCGCACCGCCGCAGCAGCGCCTGCAGCAGCACCAGCCGGGACGCGACGCTGTGCAGATCCACCAGCCTACGGCCGAGATATGGGCCAGATATGGCCGAGACACGGCCGAGATATGGCCGAGATATGGCCGAGATCCGCGGTGCGGGTCGAGAAGCCTCTGCAGCGCTGCGTAGGAGGCGGCGCGCTCGGCCTGCTCTCACGAAGTCATGATTGCGTGCTCGGCTAGATCTCGGCTAGTTTTCGGCGAATCTCGGTGAATCTCGGCTAGATCTCGGCTAGATCTCGGCTAGATCTCCGCCTGCTCTGCTGCGGTCGCCATGTGCTCAACCAGGGCGTGCGCGCACCCGGCGCACGCACCCCCCGGCCCAGCTGCCGCCCCACGCCTCGCATCTCCGGCCGCCGTCGCTCTGGCCTCTCCCGCCTCTCCCGCCTCTCCCGCCTCCGCCTCCCCCCTCTCCGCCTTCTCCGCCCCCGCCTCCGAGACCTTCTCCGCCTCCGCCTTCTCCGCCCCCGCCTCCGAGACCTTCTCCGCCGACCAGACGTTCGCCGCGGCCGCCTCGCCCTCCGCCTCCTCCATGCCTCGCCATAGCAGCTCGCGGCCGCACGAGCGCAGGCGCGAGGAGCCCTGCCCAGAGGCAGAGAGGAGGAGCAGGGCCAGACCGGCAGCCGACTCCAGCGGCCGACTCGGCGGCGCCCCAGCGCGGTGGTGCGCCCCAGCGCGGTGGTGCGCGTAGACGGCGCGGCCAAGCCTAGGGTGAGTTCGGGTTAGGGTTTGGGTTTGGGTGGGGTTGGGGTTAGGGTTGGGGTTGGGGTTTGCACGGCGCGGGCGAGCCTCGGCGGAGTGCCCAGCGGCGACGTGTCCGAGGCCGACGACGCGCGCGACGCGACACAGACCGACCTGTTCACGGCATGAGGTGTGAAGAGACGCCGTTCACACGGCGCGCGAATCGCGGCACGGGCAGACCGCAGCCGAGACAGGGCGGCGCACGGAGCCTCGACACCTGTCGGGCCAGCTGGCGGAGGTTAGAGACCGCAGCCGAGACAGGGCGGCAGGGGAGCCTCGACTCCGACCCACTCTCGACCGGCAGTATCTCGGCTAGATCTCGCCTAGCCCCTCTCTCGCCGCCCTCTCGACCAGCGCCTCGAGGAAGGTCTCGAGCACGGCGTGCGTCGGCGCGGCGTCGGCCGTGCGCTCGTCGCTTGTGCTCTGACCCGCCCCATCCGGAATCCCATCTGGAATCACTGACGCGGCGCAGCGGGCGAGCAGCGCAAGCAGAGCTGCGCCGCTGCCCGAGTCGCTCCGTGTGGCCGCCTCCAGCGCCTCTCCTGCCACCGCAGCCTCCACCTCCTCCCTCTCCGCCGCCCCCACCGCCTCCTTTTCACGCTCCGCCCCTGCCCCCGCTGCCGCCGCCGCAGCCTCCTCCACCGCCGTCGTTGCCTCTGCCTCGGCCGCCGCAGCCTCCTCCGCCGCCGCCTCCTCCGCCGCCGCAGTCTCCTCCTCCGCCGCCGCGTCCCAGTCCGCTGCCGGCCAGGCTCCCCGCGCCAGGTATCGGGCGCTCAGCGCCTCCAGCGTCGAGGACAGCATCTCGTGCCGCCGCCGCCTGACGCGAGGCAGCACGGCCGCCAGCATGGCCACGACGAGAAGCTGGGAGCGAGGCGGAGCGCCGGCGGAGAGCACGCCGAGCAGCATGACGACGCCCTCGCGCGGGCCGACCACCGTCGCTAGGCCGGCGAGCAGCGCGTGCGCCTCTCGCGCCGCCGGCCGTGGCGTGGCGCTCGCTGCGAGCGAGAGCAGCGGCTCGAGGAGGTCGAAGGCGTGCTCGTCAAGCAGCGCCGCGCGCTCACCGGTGGGCGGCAGCAGCGCAGTGGCCAACGCACGGAGCGATGCGCGGGCCAGCGAGGCGTCGGCCGAGAGCGAGGCGATGTGGGCTGCGACAGTCGAGGCTTTCTCCATCGATCGCGGGTTTTTCTGGAAGAAGAAATTAGAATGGTTCCGCCCCCCCGCCCCGCCCCGCCGCCGCAAGGCGACGGCTAAGGCCGAAATCGGTTCACACCTGCTCTTGCAGGTGTGAACACAAACGATTCGGCAAGCTTTTTTCTTTTATTTTTGTGCGCCGACTGTGTGCGCTCGGGAAGCGGGTGCGCTGCCCACGCCGTGCATCTCTCGCGGCGGAACGAGGCGTTAGGTAATGCGCGCGAGCGCGGGCGGGGCGGGCCGGGGCCGAGGGAGGGTCGGCGGGGCGCCGGGGACGTGGCAAGGGGTGCCGTGGGAAGCTGCTCCCCTGCGCCGCCGCCGCCTCGCCAACCCCTCAGCACCCCTGCATGTGTGACCGCCGCACCGCTCCACCACCGCACCGCTCCACGGATCCCGTTTTGCGCCGCGCAGGTTCGCCAGCGACTGGCGCACACGAAATGGGTGCGGACGTGAGCGCTCTCCGCGAGAAGCTGGACGCGTCCACCAGCAGGTGCGAGGCGCTCGAAAGGGAGACCGCAGAGCTCAAGTCGCGCTTGAGCGCTGCCGAAACTGCGTACGACGAAAAGGAAAAGGCGCTGGCGAGGCTGGCAAAGGCGTCGGTGGTGAGGCTGGACGCGCAGAGGGCGGAGAACATGAAGGAGACCAAGCGGGCGCAGCTGTGCGAGGAGCTTCGGCGCGAGGACTCCGTGCTCATGACCAAGCTCGGCAAGCTGCTCCTGCACGCGACGCCGGACACAAACCAGGCTGCTGCCAGCGCGGGTGTCGCGCAGGCACTCGGCGCGGGTGCGCGCGAGGCGCTCGGGGCGGGCGCGCCGGCGGCGGGCCCGCTCGACGCGGCGCGCCTGGCGGAGGAGCGGAGGAAGCTCTGCCGCCTTCTCTGGCTGCGTGGCGGCACCGACGCCACCTTTGCTCTGCGCAGCTCACGCGTGATGGCGCGGGCGGTGCTCAAGCTCCCGAGGTTGAGGGCTCTGATGAAGTGATTGAGTGGAGTGGAGAACAGGCGCAGACCGGGCTCAAGCTACCGCACGAGGAGGAGGGGCTGGTCGGCTCGCTCGGCGTGCTCCGCCGCTTCGGCGCCGCCGAGGGCGCCTCCGGTCCGTGGGCCGCGCTCGGCGGCTCGCTGCTCTGGGACGCGCGGCAACGCAAGCTGGCGGCGCTGCAGGTCGCCGCATGCGCCGAGCCGTCGCCGAGCCAGCTGGTCTGCCTCGGCGTGGACCAGACGGGGGCGCTGACCGGCAGTGTGCGCTCGACCGTCGACTCCTTCACGCTGCTCGCCAGCGCCTCGGTCGACCTCAGCAGGCGCGCGGGCCTGTGCCGCCCAGTTCCCGACTTCGTCTTCCCTTGCGATGAGCTCCGGCTTCTGCCCCACGCAGGCGCAAAGGCCCGCGGTTCGGGGTCGACCTGAGCTTTGACGTCGAGTAGTCTACTCCAGTGTCCCATGGAGGCACACGGATGCGAGCGCGCATGTTTTGAGGCGTGCGCTGGCCGCGCGCGCGCGCGCAGCAGGAGAACGAGGGGCCGGCGGCCCGTATCCCTCGAGCGTATCCTCGAGCATTAAACGGGGATCGCGCAACTCAGTGCGGGATGGAAGGAGTTGAAGCTCACGGCGTGTGTTTGGTCTGTATTTCGCTCGGAGGCCCGCGGGTGCGGAGAGATCTCATCTCAAGTACAAGTTTTTTGTGACGCACAAGCCTTCACACGAATCACACACGAATCACGATGTGAGATTACTGAAAAACCTTAACCTCCCCCAAGCAAACAACTTTGCGCATGTATTCTTTTCCTGGTTGGGGAAAATTCTTTTTATCGCCCGGTTTGATTTCTTTTGTGCAAAATCACTGTCAGTCGCCTCCTTCGCCGCTACGGGAATGTAGCCGGGGAGCTGGCTACGGGCAAAAGAGCCCCTGATTGTTGCCGGTGCGATTTCTGCTTCTCTGCGTTGGCGCGAGAGTGGCGGCGGCGCTGCGCGAATGGCGGAAGCGGCTAGCTCATCCGCTGGGGCCTCGGAGCCAGAGACCCAGCAGGTTTCGAAGGGCCCGCCCACGCCGCGCTCCCGCGCCTGCACGCGCCGCTCGCCCGCCCCCTCCGCCCCCGCCCCTCGCGCCGCCCGACCCTCGTCTGCGCCGCCCGTTGACAGTTTGGCAACGTGCTGCTTGCCGGCAAGGACCAGCACCGCGAGGAGAACCTGGGGACGCTGCGGATGCACTCGGGCGGCTTCGGCTGGAAGTCGAAGAAGACTGGCCACGTCATCGCCATCTCAAAGTCGGACCTGCGCGGCGCCGAGTGGGCAAAGGCGCCGCCGTACGCGTGCATGCTCAAGCTGCGCGCCAAGGGCGGCTTCTCGCACACGTTCGTGGGGCTGCGCTCGCAGGACAGGGGCGTGGTCGGCGACTACTGCGCCCGCGTCTTCGAGCTCGACCTCAAGGACGTCGCCTTCTCGTGGAAGGGGTGGAACTGGGGCGAGGCGCTGGTCGAGGGCACCTCGCTCGCGTTCCGCGTCGAGGACAAGGCGGCGCTCGAGATCCCGCTGGCGGCGGTGTCGCAGGCGATCGCCTCGAACCGCAAGGAGGCGATCATCGAGCTCGCCGACGACGACACCGCCGCGCCCGAGGACGAGATGGTCGTCGGGATCCGCTTCCACGTGCCGGCGGCCGCGCGCGACGACGAGGCGGACGAGGAGGAGCTGGCGCCGGCAGAGACCCTCGTCGCGCAGATCAAGGAGTCTGGCGACCTGGAGGCGTCGGGCACCTCGCTCGCCACCTTCGAGGACGTCGGCCTCACCGTCCCGCGCGGCCGATACGACATCGAGATGTTCGACAAGTTCCTCAAGCTGCACGGCAAGACGTACGACTACAAGGTGCTCTACACCAACGTCGCGTCGGTGTACGTCCTCCCGAAGCAGGACAACTACACGATGGCCTTCGTGGTCTCGCTCGAGCACCCGCTCCGCCAGGGCGCCACCATGTACCCGCACATCGTGATGCAGCTGCCGCGCGACGCGACCGTCGACCTCGAGATCGCCCTCGATTCCGCCGAGCTCAAGCGCCGGTTCGACGACAAGCTCGAGCGGTCCGAGAGCGGGGAGCTCGTCGACCTGCTGCCAAAGGTGATGTGCGCCTTCACCAAGAAGAAGGTGGTGCGGCCAAAGGTCGGCGGCTTCAACGGCGAGAAGGAGGACAAGTTCAAGTCGATCCGCTGCTCGCTCAAGGCGAGACCTCCCGAGATCTGCCGAGCTCTGCCGAGATCTGCCGAGCTCTGCCGAGCTCTGCCGAGATCTGCCGCGAGATATACCGAGACATACCGAGACCTGCCGAGATTGCCCCGACCTCGTGCGTCCGCCTCCATCGCACAGGCCAACGACGGCTTCCTGTACCCGCTCGACAAGTGCTTCTTCTTCGTCGCGAACAAGCCGCTGCACATCGACTTCGAGCGCATCGGCTCGCTCGAGTTCAACCGCGTGGACAAGGCCGCGCAGGCAGAGACAGCCCTTGCTGCCTCTCTCCTCCCCTGCTGCCTCTGTTCTCTGCTGCCTCTCCCCGCCGCCTCTGCCTCTCCCCGGCGGTGGGGCATTGATTAAGTTATTGCGTCCCATCTAATAGTAAAAAACGAATCTTTGGAACTCGCGAGACTTACCTTTATGCCTCTCGTGTGGGGAATGGTATGATAGTT